GTCCCACCTGGAACAGCCCAGGAGGAGCAGGGATAGAATGTATGGTTCCCACCTGGAACTACCCAGCTGGAGCAGTGATAGAATGTATGGTCCTACCTGGAGCAGTTCAGGAGAGCAAGGATAGAATGTATGCTCCCCACCTGGAACAGCCCAGGAGAGCAGGGATAGAATGTATGGTCCCCACTTAGGACAGACAGGGTGGAGCAGGGATAGAATATATGGTCCCCAACTGGAACAACCAGGAAAGTTGTAGAGTGTGTAAATAAATTGTGTTAGTTGTTGCTGAAAAGGTGCTGAGGCTTCTTGGCCCACACCTGATGCACGGATTGGAGAGAATTCCAGTCCCCCTGCCTCTCTGTTTAGACCTTCTTTCCCAGACCTGCATTCTTCACATGGATTGTATCTTTGACCCCATGCATCCCTCCCTCTCTCCAGAGCCTGCAGCTGTGTTTGCCAAGGAGCAGCCAGCACACAGTGAGGTGCAGGCCAAGGCAGGGGCCAGCGCCATGCTAAGCTGCGAGGTGGCCCAGGCCCAGACAGAGGTGACGTGGTACAAGGACGGGAAGAAGCTGAGTGCAAGCTCCAGAATGCACGTGGAGGCCAAGGGCTGCAGCAGGCGGCTGGTGGTGCAGCAGGCAGGGAAGGCGGATGCCGGGGAGTACAGCTGTGAGGCCGGGGGCCAGAAGGTGTCCTTCCACCTGGACATCACAGGTCAGTTCTTTCAGAGTACAAAATTAGCCTCTTTTATGAGGTGAGCTTGGAACAGATTTATACCCAAGACAGACTCTCGTGCTCTTTCAGTTAGACTTTTCCATTGACATCACCCATTCACCACCTCCATTTCCACATCTCAGGTGGGACCATGGGAGGATGGCTGGAGGGAGTGCACAGGAAGGAGACAGGTCATTTCATACACCATGGGTTGTGTTTCCACGTAATAGTGCTGGTCACATGTTCCCAGCACCTGCTCAGAACCCACTGGTGGACCTTGGTATCCAGAAGTCTGAATCTCCCTGATACATGGGATTGAGGTAGACCAGATATGTCTCCACTGGAGTTGTTCTGAACATCACAAATGTCGTCCTCCAACACACATGAGAGTTTCTGGTGGTGCAGATGTTTGATTTCACTGAACCGGGATAATGGTAAATTTGGGGCACACAATCATCCTTGGAGTTTTCCCAGGACTGTGCTTTGAGTGTCCACAGCTATAGGTGTTTTGGGAGACTTCCCTGTTTTCACAGGGATCTACGAGTTCTCTCTGCACCCATATGTAGCCAAATCTGCATCTGTATTTTATTGCAATGGCCGTGAAGCTTTCAAAGAGAGCAATTACAAATCAATCAATTCCTAAGGAATTATATTGAAACTGGCACAAGAAAAAATGGACAACTTGTACAATCCTAGCACTTAAAATAAATGGATGATTATATAATTTTCTCACAGAATAATGTCTAAGACCAGTGGCTCTACTGTCAAATTCTATCAAATATTCTGGAGAGAAATTACTCCATATTCATAGGATTCTTAGAGTGTTGAAAAGAGATGTAGTCATCAACTCCTTTTACATAGGTAGCATATCAATACCAAAATGTGACAAGGTAAATATGAAGAATTTTCACAGGCCACCCCTCATTGATGTGAAAGTAATATCTTCCATAAAATATTATCCAACTGAATTCTGCATTTTATCAAGGGGACAATACACTAGGACAATAGTCATATTCTGGGAATACAAGGCTGGTTCAACACCAGAAACATTAGAAAATCAACACAAAGCTTGATATTAACAAAATCAAAGAAATAATGATGTGATTTCCCCAATAAATGAAGAGTAAAAGCTCTGGATAAAATAAAGCATCAGAAACACAAGCAGAATATTCCATAATATTTGGCATCAATTCCTGCCACAAAATTCCTCATAAGCTTTAAATAGAAGGTTTTGTCCTTAATGTAATAACTGGTGGTATTGAAAAGGCTAGCTGACATCACACTTCATGTCAAACTTTGAAAGCTTTGCCTTTGAGATGGGACCAAGACAGGGAAGCTGAATGTCCTCACTTTTTTTTTTTTTTTAATTTTTTTTTTCAACATTTATTTACTTTTGGGACAGAGAGAGACACAGCATGAACGGGGGAGGGGCAGAGAGAGAGGGAGACACAGAACCGGAAACAGGCTCCAGGCTCTGAGCCATCAGCCCAGAGCCCGACGCGGGGCTCGAACCCACGGACCGCGAGATCGTGACCTGGCTGAAGTCGGACGCTTAACCGACTGCGCCACCCAGGCGCCCCGTGAATGTCCTCACTTTTATGCAATGTTCACAGCACACCATGGAGGAAAATAAAAGTAAAGATATGAAAGTTGGAAAAATGAAAACTGAAACTAACAGAAGATATGATTATCAATGTGGAAAATCCCAGTTTCTATTTTTTAAGTTAAATTAAAACAAGTATTATTGTAACCCTACAAGGGTATTTAAGAATACATATCAAAATAAAAAAGAAATCAAAGCATCGCTAAGTTTGAGTAGTTTGGGTATAAAGTAACAAATTTAGGGGCACCTGGGTGACTCAGTCTGTTGAGTGTCCAACTTCAGCTTAGGCCATGATCTCATGGTTTGGGAGTTTGAGTACCACATCGGGCTCGCTGCTATCAGCATAGAGCCTGCTTCGGATTCTCTGTCCCCCCTCTCTCTTTGCCCTTCACCCACTCATGCCCCCTCTCTCTCTCTCTCCACAATAATAATAATAATAAAGTAAAAAATTTAGTAAACATTGTAATTATAGTTATTGTGTCTACTTTTCAAGGTATTTATATTGTTCAAAAGTTTTAGTCACATTAAAATTTTAATTGTAATTTGCACTTTCTATGAGATTTTAACTAATTGCATTTGTAATAAATTGTATTTATTTATTTTTATTTTTTTTGCCTATTCTGGAAATTTCATATGTAGCGTTTTACTTTTTTTAAAATATGAAATTTATTGTCAAATTGGTTTCCATACAACACCCAGTGCTCACCCCAAAAGGTGCCCTCCTCAATGCCCATCACCCACCCACTTTCCCCTCCTTCCCACCCCCCATCAACCCTGTTTATTCTCAGTTTTTTTAATTTTTTTTTAACATTTATTTATTTTTGAGACAGAGAGAGACAGAGCATGAATGGGGGAGGGTCAGAGAGAGAGGGAGACACAGAATCCGAAACAGGCTCCAGGCTCTGAGCGGTCAGCACAGAGCCCGACGTGGGGCTTGAACTCATGGACCACGAGATCATGACCTGAGCTGAAGTCAGACGCTTAACCGACTGAGCCACCCAGGCGCCCCTATTCTCAGTTTTTAAGAGTCTTAAAAACCATTACTTTTTGGACACCAAAGAGCGTGAAGAGAGATTAGGACATACAAAAATCAATATATAGGAAACATTTATCTATCTATACACCAGACACCAAAAGCTGGAAGGTGACATTTTAAAGGGGTTACAACAGCATCAGAAAAATCCTGTTATCAATTTCAGGTCTAAGAAAGGATTTTCAGATGCTTTGTGGGAAAAAAAGTATTCAACTTTATTGAGAGACAGAAAAAGATCTAAATCATGGATGGAAATTGATGAAAGACCCACCAGAGGCAGTCAGTCCTCATCAAAACCCAAATAATAGCACTTATGTGAGTGAGAGTATTGACAAGTGAGTTGTAAAGCCAGAGAGAGGAAATCCACTTTTGACAAAAACCAGCAAAACCAAAACCAAAAGAAATCCCCAAAGCAATGACGTTGACTTTACTTGGCTTTTGATAAAACGACACCAATTCAAACAATCGGGGCTTTAAATAGAGACTGAGAAACTTCTCAGGGAAACAGGAAGTGAGTCCAGAAACAGCTTTGTATAAAACCCAAGTCCCTTCTCTCTCTCTCTTTTTTAAATCACTCTAGAGCTCTCAGTGTGACTGTAGTAAAGGGTTGGTCTTTCACAAATGGTGCTAAGATCATTAAACGTATGGAAAACTGAAATGAAGTTGGATGTCTATTTCTTGCCATGCAAGAAACTGAGCTGCATGTGAGTTAGAGACCTCGGTGAGAAATGTGGTTCAAGCTCTTACCAACAATGTCAGTCATTCATGACCTCAGCATAAGGAAAGCTTCCTGAGACAGAATGAAATGCACAAAACATAAAGGAGAAAGTAATATATCTGCCTATAACAAAACTCTTGCTTAACATTTTTTTTTCACAAAACAGTATGAAGGGGTGGAAATGCCAGTCACAAGATGGGAGGGTATATAAATACACATAACCACAAACACTGACATTTACTTAAACAAAGAGCTCCCAAATGAATATGAGTAAGAGACAGTGCTGTTGTAAATGGGGCAAAACACTTGAGCAATGACACCACAGAAGATCAAATTATAACTACCAAAAACTTCACAAAGGGTGCTGTACTTTGCGAGTCATCAAGTCAATGCAAAAGACAGCCACAGGAAAACACAGATGGAGCAGTGATAGAAAGTATACTGCCACCTGAACAGCCAGAAAAGTGGTAGAGTAAATATTTGTGTTAGTTTTTGCTGAGAGGGTGGTGGGGCTTCTTGGCCACATACCTGATGCAGAGATCAGAGTGAGTTCCATTCCCCATGCATCCCTGTTTAGACCTTCTTTCCCAGACCTGCATTCTTCACATGGATGGTATCTTTGACACTATGCATCCCTCCCTGTCCCCAGAGCCTGCAGTCATGTTTGCCAAGGAGCAGCCAGCACACAGTGAGGTGCAGGCCAAGGCGGGGACCAGTGCCACACTGAGCTGCGAGGTGGCCCAGGCCCAGACAGAGGTGACGTGGTACAAGGACGGGAAGAAGCTGAGTGCCAGCTCCAGAATGCGTGTGGAGGCCAAGGGCTGCAGCAGGCGGCTGGTGGTGCAGCAGGCAGGGAAGGCGGATGCCGGGGAGTACCTCTGTGAGGCCGGGGGCCAGAAGGTGTCCTTCCGCCTGGATGTCACAGGTCAGTTCTTAGTGCAAAATTAGCCTTTTCGTGAGGTGAAGGTGGAACAGGTTTATCCCCAAGACAGACTCTCGTGCTCTTTCAGTTAGACGTTTTCCCTTGACATCACCCATTCACCACCTCCATTTCCACATCCCAGGTGGGACCATGGGAGCATGGCTGGAAGGAGTGCACAGGAGGGAGATAGGTCATTCTCATACACCAGAGGTTGTATTCCCACATTGTTCCCAGCACCTGCTCAGAACCCATTGGTGGACCTTGGAGTCCAGGACTCTGGATCTCCCTGATGCCTGGGACTGATGTAGACCAGATGTCTCTCCCCTGGGGTTATTCTGGGAGGTCGCAAATTTCTTCCTCCCAACCCATATGAGGGTTCCTGGTGGTGGAGATGTTTCATTTCACTGTATAGGGGAAAGGGAAATTGGGGCCACAGAGTCATACTTGGAGAGTTCTCAGGACTGTGCTTTGAGTCACAGTTTTTGGCATTTTGGGGCAAACTTTCCTGTTTTCACAGGGATATAGAAGTTTTCTCTGCACCCATATGTAGCCAAATCTAGATCTGTATTGTACTGCAATGTCTGTGCAGTTTACAAAGACAGCAATTAAAAATCAATCAATTCTTAGGGAATTATATTGAAACTCATACAAGAAAAATTGTACAACTTGTACAATCCTAGCATTTAAGATAAATGATGATCATAAATAATTTTCTCACAGAATAATGTCTAAGCCCAGTGACTCTACTGTCAAATTCTACCAAATATTCTGAAGAGAAATTATTCCATGTTCATTGGATTCTTATAGAGTATTGAAAGAGATGCAGTCATCAATTCCTTTTACATAAGTAGCATATCGATACCAAAATGTGACAAGGTAAATATGAAGAATTTTCACAGGCCACCCCTCATTGATGTGAAAGTAATATCTTCCATAAAATATTATCCAACTGAATTCTGCATTTTATCAAGGGGACAATACACTAGGACAATAGTCATATTCTGGGAATACAAGGCTGGTTCAACACCAGAAACATTAGAAAATCAACACAAAGCTTGATATTAACAAAATCAAAGAAACAATGATGTGATTTCCCCAATAAATGAAGAGTAAAACTCTGGATAAAATAAAGCATCAGAAACACAGGCAGAATATTCCATAATATTTGGCATCAATTCCTGCCACAAAATTCTCATAAGCTTTAAATAGGTTTTGTCCTTAATGTAATAACTGGTGGTATTGAAAAGGCTAGCTGACATCACACTTTACATCAAACTTTGAAAGCTTTGCCTTTGAGATGGGACCAAAACACGGAAGCTGAATGTCCTCACTTTTATGCAACGTTCACAGCACACCCTGGAGGAAAATAAAAGTGAAGGTGAAAGTTGAAAAAATGAAAACTGAAACTAACAGAAGATATGATTATCAATGTGGAAAATCCCAAAGTTACTTTTTGGATGGCAAAGAGAGTGAGGAGAGAATAGGACATACAAAAATCAATATATAGGAAGCATTCTGTATCTAGACATCAGACAGCAGAAGCTGGAAAGTGACATTTTGAAGGGGTTATAACAGCATGAGAAAAATCCTGTTACCAATTCCAGGTATAAGAAAGGATCTTCAGATGCTTTGTGGGAAAAAAGTATTCAACTTTATTGAGAGACAGAAAGAGATCTAAATCATGGATGGAAATTGATGAAAGACCCAGAGGTAGTCAGTCCTCAGTAAATCCCATATAATAGCTCTTATGTGAGTGAGAGTATTGACAAGTGAGTTGTAAAGCCAGAGAGAGGAAATCCACTTTTGACAAAAACAACGCAAAACAAAACTGAACAAAAACCAAAAGAAATCCCCAATGCAATGGCATTAACTTTACCTGATATCAAGACTTCTGATAAAAATACAGCAATGCAAAAAATTGCGTGTCTATGTAGGGCCCCAATGAAGGGGTAGAAATGCCAGTCACTAGATGGGGAGGGTATATAAACACACATAAACACAACAGTCTGACATTTACTTATATAAAGAGCTCTTAAATAAATACGAGTAAGAGATAGTGCTCTTGTAAGTGGGGCACATCTCTTGAGCAATGACACCACAGTAGAGCAAATTATAACTACCAAAAACTTCAGAAAGGGTGTTGTACTTTGTGAGTCATCAAGACTATGGAGGATACAGCCACAGGAAGGCAGGCAGATCAGTGATAGAATGTACGGGGGGGGGGGGGGGGGGGGGGGCCAGGCAGGGGGCGGTCGGGGGGGGAATTGTGTTAGGTGTTACCGAGAAGGTTGTGGGGCTTCTTGTCCACCCACTTGGCACAGAGATTGGAGAGAGTTGCAGTCCCCCTGCCTCCTTGTTTATACCTTTTTTCCCTGACTTGCATTCTTCACATGGATGGTGTCTTTGAATCCATGCATCCCTCCCTGTCCCCAGAGCCTTCAGCTGTATTTGTCAAGGAGCAGCCAGCATGCAGTGAGGTGCAGGCCAAGGCGGGGGCCAGTGCCACACTGAGCTGTGAGGTGGCCCAGGCCCAGACAGAGGTGACATGGTACAAGGATGGGAAGAAGCTGAGTGCGAGCTCCAAAGTGCACGTGAAGGCCAAGGGCTGCAGCAGGCGGCTGGTGGTGCAGCAGGCAGGGAAGGCCGATGCCGGGGAGTACAGCTGTGAGGCCGGGGGCCAGAAGGTGTCCTTCCATCTGGACATCACAGGTCAGTTCTTTCAGAGTACAAAATTAGCCTCTTTTATGAGGTGAGCTTGGAACAGATTTATTCCCAAGACAGACTCTCGTGCTCTTTCAGTTAGACTTTTCCATTGACATCACCCATTCACCACCTCCATTTTCACATCCCAGGTGGGACAATGGGAGGATGGCTGGAGGGAATTCACAGGAAGGAGACAGGTCATTCTCATACACCATGGGTTGTGTTTCCACGTAATAGTGCTGGTCACATGTTCCCAGCATCTGCTCAGAACCTACTGGTGGACATTGGAATTCAGGAATCTGGATCTCCCTGATGCATGGGGCTGATGTAGACCAGATGTCTTTCCAGGAGAGTCGTTCTGAAGGTCTCAAATATCTTCCTCCAAATCACATGAGTGTTCTTGATGGTGGAAATGTTTGATTTCATGGAACCAGGGGAAGGGAAAATTGGGGCCACCGTCATATTTGGAGTTTTCCCAGGACTGTGCTTTGAGTCACAGTTTTTGGCGTTTTGGGACACACTTCCCTGTTTTCACAGGGATGTAGAAGTTTTCTCTGCACCTATATGTAGCCAAATCTAGATCTGTGTTGTATTGCAGTGTCTGTGCAGTTTACAAAGAGAGCAGACACTTACAAATCAATCATTTCCTAGGGAATTATATTGAAACTTACACAAGAAAAATTGGACAAGTTGCACAGTCCTAAGACTTAAGATAAATGGAGGATCATAAGTAATCTTAGAGAATAATGTCTAAGCCCAGTGCCTCTTAAATTGTAGAAAATGTTCTGGAAAGAAATTATCTCATGTTTATAGGATTCTTATAGAGTTTTGAAAAGAGAAACACACATCAATTTATTTTACATATATAGCATATCAATATCAAAATATGACAAGATAAATATGAAGAATTTTCACAGGCCACCTCTTGTTGATGTCAAGGCAGTACCTTCAAGAAAATATTATCCAACTGAATTCTGCAATTTATCAACAGAACAACACACTAGGACAACAGTCATATTCCAGGAATGCAAGTCTGGTTCAACACCAGAAACATTAGAAAATCAACAAGTAGCAATCATTAAGAATGAAATCTTGTCATTTGCAACAATGTGGATGGAACTAGAGAGTATTATGCTAAGTGAAATTAGTCAGAGAAAGACAAATATCGTGACTCACTCATATGTGGAATTTAAGATACAAAACTGATGAACATAAGGGAAGGGAAACAAAAACAATATAAAAACAAGAAGGGAGGCAAACCATAAGAGACTCTTAAATACAGAGAACAAACTGAGGGTTGCTATAAGGGTGTTAGGTGGGGGAATGAGCTAAAGGCAAGGGCTTTAAGGAGGACACGTGTTTGGATAAGCACTGAGGGTTATATATAGGGGATGAATAACTGGATTCCATTCCTGAAATCATTATTGCACTATATGTTAGCTAACTTGGATGTAAATTTAAAAAAATAATTAATAAAAAAACTAACAGAAAAATCAACAATAGCTTGATATTAACAAAATAAAAGTAAAAGCAATGTGATTTCCCCAATAAATGATAAATAAAAGCACTAGATAAAATATAACATCAGAAATCCAGGGAGAATATTCCATAATATTTGGCATCAATTACTACCAAAAAATTCTTCACAAACTTTAAGTAGAACATTTTGCCTTTAATGTAATAATTGGTGGTATTGAATACCTGACATCAAATTTCACATGAAAACTTGAAAACTTTGCCTTTGAGATGGGACCAAGACAGGGAAACTGAGTGGCCTTACTTTTATGCAATATTCACAGCACACCATGGAGGAAAATAAAAGTAAAGACATGAAAGCTGGAAAAGTGAAAACTGAAACTAACAGAAGATATGGTTATCAATGTGGAAAATCCCAAACAGTTACATTTTGGATGGGAAAGAGAGTAAGATTAGGACATACAAAAATCACTACAGGAAACACTCTGTATCTATACACCAGACACCAGAAGCTGGAAAGTGACATTTTAAAGGGGTTAACATAGCATCAGAAAAATCCTGTTACCAATTCCAAGTCTAAGAAAGGATCTTGAGGTGCTTTGTGGGCAAAAAGTATTCAACTTTATTGAGAGACAGAATAAGATCTAAATCATGGATGGAAATTGATGGAACACCCCGAAGTGTTCAATCCTCTTCAACACCCAAATAATAGCTCTTCTGTGAGTAAGAGTATTGACAAGTATATTGCAAAGCCAGAGAGAGGAAGGCCACTTTGAAAAATACAAAACAAAACAAAACAAAAAACAAAAAAATCCTCCAAAACAATGATATTTAGTTTACTTGATATCAAGACTTTTGATAAAACTACAGCAATTCAGGCAATTGGGTCTTTATGTAGGGACTGAGAAACAGCCCAAGAGAACAGAAAAGTGAATCCAGAAACAGGTCTGTATAAAACCTGAGTCCCTTCTGCTTTTTGTTTTTTAGTTTGGTTTTCACCGTGGTGCTAAGTGTAACTGTAGTGGAGGGTCAGTCTTTCACAAATGGTACTAAGACTATTAACCATATGGAAAACGGAATTGAAGATGGATGTCTGTTTCTTCCCATGCAAAATCTCAGCTCAATGTGGGTTAGAGACCTCAGTGAGAAATGTGGTTCAAGCTCTTATCAAACAATGTGAGTCATTAATGACTTCAGCATGAAGTTGTCCTTAAAAAGAACAAAGTGCACAAAATAAAAAGGACAAAATAATATATCTGTCCATAAGAAAGCTCTTAACATTTTGTCACTAGAAACATGAAGGTGTGGAAAGGCAAATCACAAGATGGGGAGGGTATATAAACACACATAACCACAAACACTCTGACTTTTACTTAAATAAAGAGCTCCCAAGTGAATATATGAGTAAGAGACAGTGCTGTTGAAAATAGGGCAAAACACTTGAGCAATGACACCACAGAAGAGCAAATATTAAGGTCCAAAAACTTCAGAAAATTTACTGCGCTTTATGAGTCATCAAGTCAATGAACGAGACAGCCACAGGAAGGCACAGGTGGAACAGTGATAGAATGTATGGTCTCTACCTGGAAGAGCCCGCAGAGAACAGTGATAGAATGTATGGTCCTCACCCAGAACATCGCTGATGAGCAGTGATAGAATTTTTGGTTTCCACTGGGGACAGCCCAGGCAGAGCAGTGATAGAATGTATTGTCCCCAATTGGAACAACTAGGAAAGCAGTAGAGTGTGTAAATAAATTTTGTTAGTTGTTGCTGAGAAGGTGGTGGGGCTTCTTGGCCACACACCTGATCCAGGGATTGGAGAGAGTTCCAGTCCCCCTGCCTCCCTGTTTAGACCTTCTTTTCCAGACCTGCATTCTTCACATGGATAGTATCTTTGACTCCAAACATCCCTCCCTGTCCTCAGAACCTACAGTGGTGTTTGCCAAGGAGCAGCCTGCACGCAGTGAGGTGCAGGCCAAGGCAGGGGCCAGCGCCACACTGAGCTGTGAGGTGGCCCAGGACAAGACAGAGGTGACATGGTACAAGGACGGGAAGAAGCTGAGTGCGAGCTCCAAAGTGCACATGGAGGCCAAGGGCTGCAGCAGGCAGCTGGTGGTGCAGCAGGCGGGGAAGGCGGATGCTGGGGAGTACAGCTGTGAGGCCGGGGGCCAGAAGGTGTCCTTCTGCCTGGATGTCACAGGTCAGTTCTTAGAGAATGCAAAATTAGCCTTTTCGTGAGGTGAAGGTGGAACAGGTTTATCCCCAAGACAGACTCTCGTGCTCTTTCAGTTAGACTTTTCCCTTGACATCACCCATTCACCACCTCCATTTCCATATCCCAGGTGGGGCCATGGGAACATGGCTGGAAGGAGTGCACAGGAGGGAGACAGGTCATTCTCATACGCCAGAGATTGTGTTTCCACGTAATAGTGCTGGTCACATGTTCCCAGTACCTGCTCAGAACCCATTGGTGGACGTTGGAGTCCAGGACTCTGGATCTCCCTGATGCTTGGGGCTGAAGTAAACCAGATGTCTCTCCCCTGGAGTCATTCTGAGAGGTCATTGTATCTTCACCAAACACACCTATGGATTCCTGCTAGCAAGAGATATTGGCTTCACTGAGTCAGGGGAAGGGGAAATGTGGGCCACACAGTCATACTTGGAATTATCTTGAGACTGTGCCTTGGGTTTTCAAAGTCTTATGTGTTCTGGGATACTTCCCTCCTTTCACAGAGGTGTAGGAGTTCTCTCTGCACCCATACATAGCCAAATCTAGATCCATATTTTGTTGCCATGTCTGTGTTGATTACACAGAGAGCAGAGGACTGGTGTGTATGTGCCCCAACAAACACCTGTGATGCTTGGAATTTCCTATCAAAGCATATCTTATTTTCACTTTGTCATAAGTTGGTGTTTTGCCTATGAATTCTGTTTGTAGTTAGACCTATACATTTGCCAATGGAATGCTGAGTAGCATATTGTCTACCAGCATGCCCTGCTAAGAATGAGGTCACAGGAGCAGCCACTGAAAGTAATTTAGCATTTATTTCACAGCATTTCCTAATGATTAGTGTGCATCTGTGCTTCCCTGGCTAATCAATAGAGATGTCTGAGAACTGACTTTATTTTCCTTTCATATAATTCAGATATGTACAGTTACATGTGGCTCCTGGATGCCAGCACATAACATGTTGGTATTACATTGGGGTTTAATGGTTTGTGAGTGTTTACAAATGTTTAAAACCCTATGTGTGTATTTGTGATGTGATTATCTGAGAATATGATATAACATTATGCAAGTAAATTTGGAAAGTTTTGACCAATTGATCAAGAAAGCTATATCAAAACTCATGGAAGAACACATAGACAATTTGAGTAGTCCTATAACCTTATAAATTATTGGAACCATAATAAACAATCTTGTCACACAATACTGGATAACCCTAGTGGCTCTACTATCAAATTGTACCAAATATTCTGGCTGTAGGAACATTCCTGCACTGCAGGGAGGATGTTCTTAGGCAGTCATGTGGTAAAGTCATGTGGTTTGCATCATCTATAAATGTTGAGGTGTGCAGGCATAATGACCCCACAGATTCCACGTGCACAAGAGTCTCTTACAGAATTCCCCCCCACCCCCACCACAATACCTCAAGCAGAGTGGTGGTAGAATGTAGTCCCCACCTGGAACAGCCCACATGGAGAAGTGGGGTAGAATGTACAGATAAATAGTGTTACTTGTCCTTAGGAAGGCAGTGGGGCTTCTCCAAGTCACACAGTTGTTGCAGAGCTAAAAATTGTGGTTTATATACACAATGGAGTACTACATGGCAATGAGAAAGAATGAAATATGGCCCTTTGTAGCAACATGGATGGAACTGGAGAGTGTTATGCTAAGTGAAATAAGCCATACAGAGAAAGACAGATACCATATGGTTTCACTCTTATGTGGAGCCTAGAGACTTTCAATTCTCCTGCCTCTCCATTCAGTCTTTTCTCAGTGCTGCCTTCCTGATTTGGACAGTATCTTTGACCCTGTGCATCCCTCCCTGTCCTCAGAACCTACAGTGGTGTTTGCCAAGGAGCAGCCTGCACGCAGTGAGGTGCAGGCCAAGGCAGGGGCCAGCGCCACACTGAGCTGCGAGGTGGCCCAGGACAAGACAGAGGTGACATGGTACAAGGACGGGAAGAAGCTGAGTGCGAGCTCCAAAGTGCACGTGGAGGCCAAGGGCTGTAGCAGGAGGCTGGTGGTGCAACAGGCGGGGAAGGCGGATGCTGGGGAGTACAGCTGTGAGGCCGGGGGCCAGAAGGTGTCCTTCCGCCTGGATGTCACAGGTCAGTTCCTTTTGATACTAACAGTCTTGTTTGGACATAATGTAGGAATTGCATTACAGATCCCACAGGCTCTGATGTTCCTTCCCTTACTCTTCATCTTTTCCCCTCTGCCATCCTGTTGCCTCCTATTTTCATAGCCAAGGTTAGACTGACAGAAATTTAATGAGAACGGTGCTCAGGGAGTGAGAGGGGCCATTTTTGTGTCTTTGAGAAGTTCTCTCAGTCATGCATCTGAGCACCTGCACAGGGCCCTCCTGGAGTTCCTCAGTGCCCAGGACTATGGCTGTTCTTCATGTTTGGGTTCTGAAGTAGACTAGGCATCTCACACCTTGGTTATGTGCCTGTGCTTTCCTGGGCTCCCTAGATGCCCCCTTCAGTGCTATAAGGAGTTCTTACTAGTGAGAGACATTTCAGTTCCTTTAAACCAGAGTAGGGAAAATTTTGATGATATAATCATACTTGGAATGATCTTAACTAAACTTTGGATTATTAATGTTTTGTTTGTTTTAATGTATTATTTTGCACATGAATATATGTTATCTGTGCACCTGTATGTAGCAAAATCTAGACCGCTGTTTTCTTGTAGTGCCTGTGCAAAGTAAACAGAACTAGAGGGTTGATAGATTTGTGCCTGAGACATGCACATGTAAGTTCTGGAGTTCTTTTTCTAAAGCACATCTTGTTTCCTTGTGTCTTCAGTAAGGCCATTCTGTGTCATAATTCCTCTTGGAGTCTGATTTATAGATTTAGAAATGGGAAGGAGTAAGTATCACCATGCTCTGCTATAGAGGAATCCTTGTGGTGGCAATCACTGGCTGGTATAGCAGTATGTCATAGGATTTCCTAGTGGGTATTGTGTGTTTGTGCCTCCTGGCTGCTTCATGGGGAGGTCTAAGGACTAAATTTATTTTGCTTTTGTTAAATTTGTCTTAACATCAGAGGAGGGTGGGCCATAGCACCACATTAATCCTAGCTGCCAGCCCATAATAGTTGTGATGGTATATCAGTATATAATATTTTTGGGTGTGTACAGATACCAGAAATCCTACATTTTTCCAAAATGTTTTTTTGAGAGCATATGGCATATTATTTTATGGTATCAATTTGAAAAGTTTTGATAAATTGACCAAATTCTTGGAAAACCATCTGAAAAAGTGACACAAGAAGAAATAGATAACTCAGGTAGTCCCATAAGTTTAAATAAATGGAAACAGTAATAAAACTTTTTTTCATAGAGAATGATCTAAGCCTAGTAGCTCTGCTGAAAAATTATGGAAAGTATTCATGGAGATTATCCTAGAGAATAAAATAAAGATGTACATTCTTTTTTGATTCATGGAACTAACATAACATCAACACCAAAATCTGACAAGGAAAGAAGGAAGGATTAAAATTATAGGCCAATCTCTTATGGATATCAATATCCAATATCTTCAACAAAACATTGGCAAAGTCATCTAAGCAAGATGTCAAAAAATATGCTTTGATGAAGTCATAGTCCAGGAATGCAAAGTTGGTTTAATATTCAAAACAGTAGAAAATCACCACAGTTGATCTCAGTGATGTAGGGATTAGGGGTGGTAGTGCCCAATGCAGTAAAAAATCCACTTATAACTTTTGACTCCCCCAGAACTTAACTGTTAATAGCGCACTGTTGACTGAGAGTCTTGCCGATAACTTAAATAGTTGATTTTGCATGTTATATGTATTATACTCTGTATTCTTACAATAATGTAAGATAGAGGAAAGAAATGATATTAAGAAAAGAACAAGAAAGATAAAATACATTTATAGTACTGTACTGTATTCATTTTAAAAACACCTGATGCGGGGATTGGAGATAGTTCCAGTCCCCCTGCCTCCCTGTTTAGATCTTCTTTCCCAGACCTGCATTCTTCACATGGATTGTATCTTTGACCCCATGCATCCCTCCCTCTCTCCAGAGCCTGCAGCTGTGTTTGCCAAGGAGCAGCCGGCACGCAGTGAGGTGCAGGCCAAGGCAGGGGCCAGCGCCACGCTGAGCTGCGAGGTGGCCCAGGCCCAGACGGAGGTGACATGGTACAAGGATGGGAAGAAACTGAGTGCGAGCTCCAGAGTGCGCGTGGAGACCAAGGGCTGCAGCAGGCGGCTGGTGGTGCAGCAGGCGGGGAAGGCGGATGCCGGGGAGTACAGCTGTGAGGCCGGGGGCCAGAAGGTGTCTTTCCTCCTGGATGTCACAGGTCAGTACTTGGGTGGTGGTGGCATGCCATGTTAGCCCTGTTTCAGCATGATGTGTTGACTGACTGACAGCTATGAAGAAACTGTGGTCTCTCCAGTAGATCTCCTGTCCTCACATCTCCCATATCCCATCTTCATGCCTGTGGCCAAGCCCTGGGAGAGTGGATCTGTGTATAGCACACCACCCCTGTTGTGCACCCTGCATGATGTTTCCATGGAGTAATGCTCCTGGAGTTCCTGTGTCCAGTACTCTCGCTCCATCTGGCTTCACTGCCTAAAGTAGAGCCAATGTCTCTCACCCCAGGGCATGCGAATTACTTCTAGAAGCTCCCAGATGACCTCACCCAGCACCACATGAGGGCTGAATATCTTTGAACCTGATACAGGTGCATTTCAGATACCCAACCTAGTCATCTTAGAGTTGTCTTGAGACTGAACTTGGCATTACCAAAATTTCAGTCATTTTGGGACACTCTTCCTGCCTCACATGTGGACATGGAAGTTACCTGTGCACCTATGTGTACCCAGATCTTGATCCCTGTTCTGTCGCAATGTCCGCACATAGTAAACCAGGAGCAGAGGGCTGGGAGATATGCAACTTGGATGTGTACCTGGCATGTGGGACATTATTTACTTACTTATTGATAATTTTTAAATGTTTATTTATTTATTTATTTATTTATTTTGAGGGGGGGTGAGAGAGAGAGAGAGAGAGAGCATGAGCAAGGGAGGGGCACAGAGAGAGGGAGAGAGAGAATCCCAATCAGGCTCTGTGTTGACATTACCCGAAGCAGGGCTTAATCTCAGGAACTGTGGGCTCATGACCTGAGCTGAACTTAAGACTGAGATGCTTAACCCACTGAGTCATCCAGGAGCCCCTGGAACATTCTTTTGAAAGAAAATTTCAGTTTCCTTTTGTCTCTGTGAGAATGTTCTGTGTCAGTATTGTGCTTGGAGTTTGATTCATATATTTTGAAGCTGGGAAGAATGAGTAGCTTCTCTGAAATCAGCACATCTGTATTTGGGACAGATAAGTTACTATAGTGGCAGCCACTGACTGGTGAAGCAGTATTTATGTATTTATTTCATAGCATTTGCTAGTGGTGTGTGTGTGTGGGGGGCGTGCACGCGTATGCCCATCCCTGGCTGGTTCACAGAGATGTCTGCAAACTTACTTTAAGTTAAGAGAGGTTAAGCTCAAATAGGTGGTCTGTGGCCCCACATTGACTCCTAATAGCAATGTGTGATTCTTCAGTAGTGTATCATTACATGATTTGTAGATGTGTATAGATAGTAAGAAACTTACTAGGAACACTTTTGACCCCGTCATTTCAGTAGAACGTGATATTATTTTACTCAAGTAGAATTGAAAAGTTTTGGCAAATTGTCCAATTCCTCGAAAACTGTATCAAAACATCCACAAGAAGATATAAACAATGTGAACAATCTTATAACTTTTTTAAAAAATGAAACCATCCCAAAAAACCTTTTCATTAGACAAGATTAAATTCAGTGGTTCTGCTGGTAAGTTACAATTTACGAATTATAGATTACAAATTACAAATTCTGGAAAGAAATTGTCCCATGATCATGGAGGATTCTTTAAGAGGACAGAAAAGGGATGTACACTCTTAACCCATTTTACGCCGCATTGATACCCAAATTGGACAGGTGTGAAGAATTGCAATTGGAGGCCAGTCTCGGATGCATGTCAATACCAAATTTTACACAAAATATTGTCCAAATAACAGTGCAATACTCAAAGTGCAGACACACTGTCTGAGCTCATCTCCTAAGAACACAGGATTGGCCAACACTAGAACATTAGAATATCAGTATAATCTGTCATATTTAGAACTTAAAAGGGAAAACACATTTTTTGTTTTGTTTTATTCTCACATGACTGCTTGATAAAATTTTTACATTATATGCAGAAGAAGAATTTCATAAAATGTAGCATACATTCAAGGTAGTCAAGTCCTTGATTAACTATAAGAGTATTGTTCCTTAATTTGACACAGGATACAGAAAACTATAGCACATCACATTCACAGGGTGTCTCCTTCTAACTGGAGCTCGTACATGGCTCCACTGGTACAATTGTGTGCAACACTGTACAGTGAATCAGGAGAAATATAAAATGAAGTAATATAACTGATAAAGCTGTAGTAGGAAGACATCAGGTTGCAACTTGGGGATAGGTGCATAGCACAAAGGGACAAGTGGTAAGGTTCAAATAGACCGTGCTGTGACCAGCTTCACCCACCCATCCTTTTCCAGTTTTTAAAAGGAGATTTTTTAATGTTTATTTATTTATTTTCAGAGAGAGAGGGAGCTAGAGCAGGGGAGGGGCAGAGAGAGAGCCCAGGTGGAGCAGTGACAGAATGCATGGTCTCTGTGCTGCTACTGCAGAGCCCGGTATGGGGCTCACACCCATAAGCCGTGACATCATGACCTGAGCTGAAACCAAGAGTTGGACACTTAACTGACTAAACCACCCAGGCACCCCCCCCACCTTTTCCATTATTTTTATTCTGTAATTCTGGCACATGGTATAGAGGTAGATTGTCTTTTCATAAATGGTGCTCAGACTATGTAACTTTGTATCTATCTATCTATCTATCTATCTATCTATCTATCATCTATTCTATCTATCTGTATATCATCTATCTGTGTCTTACATCTCTCCATCTTTCCATCATCTATGTGGATTTTGTCTCTCTCTCTCTGTCTCTCTCTCTCTCTCTTTCTCTCCATCTTTCTGTCATCTATCTGGATCATCTATCTATCTATCTATCTATCTATCTATCTATCTATCTATAATCTACTATATCATCTATCTGTATCTATCTATCTATCTATCTATCTATCTATCTATCTATCTATCATCTATCTGTATCATCCATTACTCCATCTTTCCATCATCTATCTGGATCATCTATCTACCTACCTACCTACCTACCTACCTATCTACCTACCTACCTACCTATGTGTGTATCTACACATATATGTATCATCTATCTATATCTATCCATCATCTATCTGTATTATCTATCTATCTATCTATCTATCTATCTATCTATCTATCTTTTATGTCTCTCTCAAATGATCTATTTATCTATAATAAAAATGGGGGGCTCCCCCACATCACGCATAGGTACCAACTCCAGCCAAGCTAGGATTCCAGTGTCAAAGAAAAAACACGCTCTTAGCAGAGAACACACAACATTTAATGGCCTCAGGGTAATGAAAGATTTCTGAAACAGAATATGAACACACCAACCACAAAGGACACATTGACATACCTGCCTAAATCACAACTGAGAACTTTACATCATCAGAGGACACAAAGGGATGAAAAGGCAAGTGACAATGATGGATAAATTATTCACAAAACCATGATTATCAAAGCTCTAATGCAAGTGCAAGAGCTCCTAAAAACGAATATGTAAAGGACAGGCCATAATTAGCAATAACTGATAACCAGACAGGGCATTGCAATGATACCACACTGCAGAAGAGAAGAGTCAGAGAAACCTGAACGGTGCTCCACTGTGTGAGTCATCAGGGACTTACGTGGAAAGACCACAGGAGGGACATGTCCCTCCCCGCAGGTGCCAGCAGTGGACATCACAGGGTAGGTGAGAGCAAGGAGCGGCAGCAGCTCCCTGCACAACCATGAGGAAAGACTGCATCACCTGGGAAGGCTGCGGTGCGTGTGCATTGCAACACCCCTGCACCTCTCCCAGAGGTATGTGTGCACAGCGAAGTCTTTTCCAGCATCCCCACGTGGAACAGTGGTAGAGCCTATAGTGAACTTTGGGTACTTGTGCAGCCAGCACAGAGCCTGGAGGAGTTTCTGTGGCCCTGCACCCTCATCCAGGCCTGCTCTCCCAGTGCTGCGACCCTAATGGATATGGTGTGTTTGATGCTGTGTGTCCCTCCCTGTCCCCAGAGCCCTCGGTCATGTTTGCCAAGGAGCAGCCAGCACGCAGTGAGGTGCAGGCCAAGGCGGGGGCCAGTGCCACACTGAGCTGCGAGGTGGCCCAGGCCCAGACGGAGGTGACGTGGTACAAGGACGGGAAGAAGCTGAGTGCCAGCTCCAGAATGCGTGTGGAGGCCAAGGGCTGCAGCAGGAAGCTGGTGATGCAGCAGGCAGGGAAGGCGGACGCCGGGGAGTACAGCTGTGAGGCCGGGGGAGAGAAGGTGTCCTTCCACCTGGACGTCACAGGTCAGTTCTGGGGCTAATACTTTATCCTTGATTGCTAGCGATGATGGCACTAGTGCGCAGCCCAGACAGACCCTGATGCTCTTCCCAGATCCCAGCCTTCTGCCTTCCATTTCACTCTGGTGGCTGAACCCACGGATGTGGGAAGGGAAGAGTGTCCAGACAAGAGAGAGCTCCTCTTGGGTACCCCATGGTGTGTCCACATGGCCATGCTCAGCCACTGTCCCCAGCACCCCTTCAGAACGTACTGTGGCTCCTTTGGCATCCGGGATTCAGGCTCTATGTGCTGCACTGGGCTGAGATTGACCAGACGTACTCACCTGCAGATGCTCTAGTGGCTTCCATAGCCTCATTTAAAGGTTCTCACTATCAAGAGATGTTTGGGTTTCAGTAAGCCAGGATAAGAGGACGCTTCAGCCTTCTGATCATAGCTGGAACCATCTCGAGGCTGAACTTGCATTATTGAGGTTGTAGGTATTCTGGGCCATGCTCATGGGTGTGGAAGCTCCCTCAGTGCAAAACGCAGATAGATGTTTATTGCAGCATCTCGGCAAAATAAATAACGAGCGGCGAAGTGGTAGTAGCTGAACACCTGTGATGAGCACCTGTGTGGTTTGGAGCTGTTTTCAAAGCAAATCTTGTTTCTTTTTGTCTTCAGTTGGGATATCCTGTGTCAGAATTCCCCCTGGATGAGGTACAGGTTGAGGGAGGGAGAGGAGTAAGTGGCTTGTGGGACATGAGCACACTCAGTGGTAGCAGCCCCTGACTGATAAGGCAGTATCCATCCCACTGTGTTCCCAGGTGGTGCTCAGGGACACTGATGCCTCCTGACTGGTTCCAGACAAGTCTGTGACCTATCTTTATTTTCCTTCTTGTGGGAAAATTGAACTTCAGAGCAGCCCTGCGTGACTCCTGGGGGCCCCCATAGCAGTTTGCTGTTGTATCAGTACATCATGGTTTGTGGGTGTGTATGGACACCACAAAACCTGTTGTGTGTCTTTCTGACAAGTCACTTGAGAGAATCTGGCACTCTTTAATGCCAGAAAATCAGAACAGTGGTGAAGTATGGTCCTAGTGGTTGTAGAAAAGCAAATCTCAATGGACGTAAGAAGTGGACAATGCCCACAGCGTCATTGGAACAACAGAAGCAGGAACCAGAGTGTCTTCATGGAACAGTATGGAAGCCTGGTGACTTGCCTTGTAAATCCTTCCAGGCATTCTGGAAATTATATCCTGTTCACAGACATTCTTGTAGAGAAAAGGAGATACACTCTTATCCCATCTTACACGGTAGCGTAGCTTCTGTAGTACAACACGATGGGACAGGGGAAAGAGTGCAGGCCAGTGTGTCATGGCTTTCCAGGCCTATATTTAGACAGAATATCAGTGAACTGAAATCAGCAGTGTATCAACAGAATCATGCACTGATAGGAGGTACAGTTCCACTCTCCCTGCATTGCCAGCAGATGCTGACACAGAGTAGGTTGCAGCAGGGAGCTGCGGGGACTCCGTGCCCACATGGGAAGGACCCTGCAAGCCATGCACATGCAGAGCCTGGAGACTATTCCAGCCATCCCGTTTACCTCTTCTTTCCCAGTGCTGCCTTCCTAACTTAGATGGTGTGTTTGTTCCTGTGTGTCCCTCTCTGTCCCCAGAGCCCTTGGCCATGTTTGCCAAGGAGCAGCTGGCATGCAGTGAGGTGCAGGCTGAGGCGGGGGCCAGCGTCACGCTGAGCTGCGAGGTGGCTCAGGACAAGACAGAGGTGACGTGGTACAAGGATGGGAAGAAGCTGAATGCAAGCTCCAAAGTGTGCATGGAGGCCACAGGCTGCAGCAGGAGGCTGGTGGTGCAGCAGGCGGGGAAGGCGGACACCGGGGAGTACAGCTGTGAGGCTGGGGGAGAGAAGGTGTCCTTCCGCCTAAACATTACAGGTGGGGGCCAGCATTTGGAAGAGGGTATAAATTCCTGACAAATCAGGAAATGAGCCCTTCTCAGGCAGGGCTGTGTGTTGTACCTGTGTTGGGGTCTCTGCTGACGGGCCTGGCCCAGGGCTCTGTCCACTGCCCAGGTCCTTGGATTGGAGACACTCCCTGTAGCCCCTGTTCTGGGACATTCCCGACATTTGCATCCCCCAGTTTCTGCCCCTCTCTGCCACATCCCCACCTTACCCCCACACAACCTGACCACCAAGGCCTGTGGTCTGTGGCCGTAGCCATTCTGTCTAGGGTTGGTAGGCAGACACGTTTCCCATTGCAAACGCACCATGCACAGTTTTGGAGCCCAGAGCTGTTCTGGGAGACTTACTTGAGGGGTTTGCCCTCAGTGGGGCTTGGCTCCCTGTCTCTTGCCTTGGGATCCCGAGTGTCCAGCTGATGTTCAGTCAGCCCTGTGGGCTTGCCCTGCTCTGATGCCCATCTTGGTCTGGGCCAAGCTGTCTTCTCCTGCCTCCTCTCCTGACCCTGCTCCAATGTCTTTCAGTAATGTGGGCCCAGGCCCCAGGCTGTGGTCTCTCTGACCTGCCTGCTGCCCACTGTCTACAGTGTCTGCTCATGAGGCCCCCTCTTCCCTGCTGGGCAGGGATGCTGGGCTCTCAGCTCTTGGCTCCCGGGCCCGTGACCCCAGGTGTCTCTTCCTGGCCACCCTGTCGCACCCCCGGGAGCCTGGATAGTGACCGTTAGGTGGCATGGAGCCTTGCTGGATTAACTCTCAGGCTTGTTCAGCAGAGTCTCAGCAGAGGAGGACTGGATGGGCCAGGCAGCGGCAGAGCAGTGGAAGTTTGGGTGGGGTGTGTGTGTCCCATTTCAGATCTCATCCCCCGGTGCAGCCCCTAGGTGGGATGAGTGAGGCCAGGAATGCAAGGGCCCTGCTCTCATGCTCATTGATCTCCCCACAGAGCTGGAGCCTGAGACCCCCACAGTGGAGAGACCTGGCCGCAGAGAGCCTGTGGTGGTCAGGGAGCACGAGGACATTGTCCTGACCGCCATGCTGGCTACGCCCTCCGTGGCTGCAGTGACGTGGCTCAAGGATGGCGTGGAGATCCGCCGCAGCAAGCGGCACGAAACGGCCAGCCTGGGGGACACCCACACCCTGACGATCCGCGGCGCGCAAACCCTGGACACCGCAGTGTACAGCTGCCGCGTGGGCGCAGATGGGCAGGACTTCCCAGTGCAGGTGGAAGGTCAGAGGGACTGGGGTGTCCTCTGGGAGCCCCGTGTGCACTGGGGCACCCGTGGGGCTGGAGGGTCTCCCATGAGGTTGCGTAGGCAGCATCCTGGCATGGAGCCGGAGTGGCACTCTGGGCGCATGACTGGTTGGTACAGAGTTTGTCCCCTGGCCCAAGCCCCGCGGCTGACACCCCCCTTCCATCCCGCAGAGGTGGTCGCTAAGTTCTGCCGGCCCCTGGAGCCTGTGAGCGGGGAGCTAGGTGGCACGGTGACGCTGGCCTGCGAGCTGAGCCCACCGCAGGCCGAGGTGGTGTGGCGCTGCGGGAGCACGCAGCTCCGGGCTGGCAAGCGCTTCCAGATGGAAGCCGCAGGGACCCGGCGCTCGCTCACCGTGTCCGGCCTGCGGCTGGAGGATGCGGGGCAGTATGCGTGTGAGACCCGGGATGACTGCACCAGCGCGCAGCTCTCCGTCAGCGGTAGGCAGGGGTGAGATGCATCTGAGGGCCTTCCTGGAGAAGGTGTGTGCTCTCTGTGTCTGCATGGGGCGGGGGGTCTCTGCCTCTCCTACTCATCTCTCAAGCAAAACCCCTGTCTGCAGCCCCCCGCATGGTCAAGTTCATGTCTGGGTTGAGCGCCGTGGTGGCGGAAGAGGGCCAGGAGGCCACCTTCCAGTGCGTGGTGTCCCCCAGCGATGCAGCAGTCAGGTGGTTCCGGGACGGCGTGTTGCTGCAGCCCAGTGAGAAGTTCCTCATCTCACAGAGTGGCGCGAGCCACAGCCTGACCATCTTGGGCCTGACCCTGGACGACCCAGGCCAGATCACTGCAGAGGCCGAGGGGGTCTCCTCTGCTGCTGCCCTCCGGGTGCGAGGTACGTGGGAGGGCCTCCCAGGGGGACTGGTTCGAAGGCCGCTTTCTGATGCCAACCTGTGTCCAGCTGGTTCGGGTGACCTCGAGGGACACTGGGCTTTGTTGGCTAAGGAAAGGAGACTCAGGTGGGACCCAGGGGCCAGATACCTACTCTGAAGGGGACAAAGTAAACCTCTGTAAGGTGCGTCTGGTTGTGGGTGGGCAGAGGTTTAGGCCATCAAGGGAGACTGCCTGGAGGAGGCATCCCAAGCTGAGCCCCATGGTCGGCAAGGTGGGAGGGAGTGGAGTTAGCCAGTGCAAGCAGGGTTGGGGGCGGGGGGGGGGGCGGGGCTGGGACCTCACCTGGGGACCTGCTGCTGGTTCTGAGTGAGTTAGTAACATGGACACCTGGAAAGGTCATCCAGAGCCTGGGACTGGGAGGTGCACCTGACTGGCTCCTTTCACTCCTTCACGTAGAGTGTCCAGGGTCTCCTTGGGGCAGACTGGCTGGGGGCTCAGCGTCTGTGTTACCTGCCCCCCCCCCAACTGTGCCCCATTGCTGCTGGTCATGGTGGGCTTGTCCTGAGTAGGAGGGTGGGAGGTGAGAGACAGGCTGAGGAAGAAGCAGCTCCCGGGGCCTCTGTTCCCTTCTCTACAGTTGTATCTGTACAGGTGTGCAGCTGGGCCTAGTGTGGAGTGAGAACATGAGGTCACGGTGGGGGCAGCTGTGCCGACTGTGGAGGTCAGGCCCCTCTGTGCCCTGGCTTTCCTGGGAGTGGCAGTGGCTGCGATGACCTCCCTTTCTCATGACCCCAGAGGCTCCAGTGCTGTTCAGAAAGAAGCTGGAGCCACAGACGGTGGAGGAGCAGAGCTCAGTGGCCATGGAGGTAGAGCTGACACGGCCATGGCCCGAGGTCAAGTGGACACGGAACGCAGTGGCCCTGGCGCCAGGCAAGAACGTGGAGATTCACGCCGAGAGCACCAGGCACCGCTTGGTTCTTCACTGCGTGGGTTTTGCCGACCGCGGCTTTTATGGCTGTGAGACTCCAGACGACAAGACGCAGGCCAAGCTCACCGTGGAAAGTGAGTGGCAACAGCAGGCTGAGCGTGGGGGTCGGGCGTCAAGGAAGGAGGACGGAAGGGGGTGTCCCCCTGGAGGGACAGGCCCTGGGGGGTGGCGGGAGGCAGGGAGGATGGGAGAGAAGGAAGGGAAGGGCTGGGCCTTTCCCTCCAGGATGCCTGGCTGGCTCTGAGGCTCCTGGGGAGGTGAGTGGGGGCTGGCTGAAGGGCCTGGGTCTCACGGCAGTGCCTCATGCACCCCCATGTTTGTCCCGCAGTGCGCCAGGTCCGGCTTGTGCGGGGCCTGCAGGCGGTGGAGGTGTGGGAGCAGGGCACAGCCACCATGGATGTGGAGCTGTCACACGACAACGTGGAGGGCAGCTGGACGCGAGACAGCGTGCGGCTGCAGCCAGGGTCCACGTGCCAGCTGGCCGTGCAAGGCCCCATCCACACCCTCATCCTGTCGGGGCTGCGGCCGCAGGATAGTGGCCTCATCGCCTTCAAAGCTGAGGGGGTGCACACGTCTGCACGGCTCACGGTCACTGGTGCGTGGGCACGGGGGGGGGGCACTCCTGAGTGCACCTGCCTCTGTCCCCAATGAGGCCCGGGGAGCCAGGCAAGGGCAGGGTGGGGGGTGTCATTCCCAGAACTGGCTGTGTGAGACCACACATCTCAGGCCCCGCTTCTCACCTCCCCCTTCCTGCCAACCCAGAGCTGCCTGTGAGGTTCAGCCGCCCTCTGCAGGATGTGGTGGCCACAGAGAAGGACAGGGTGACCTTGGAGTGTGAGCTGTCTCGCCCCAACGTGGACGTGCGCTGGCTGAAGGTGGCTTGGGCTGCTCCCGCCTGACACTGGGCTGGCAGGGGTGGGACTGCTCTGTTGGCCACCTCCAGTGCCTGACCCAACCTCGTTCCTCCTCAGGACGGCGTGGAGCTTAGGGTGGGCAAGACAGTGGGCATGGTGGCCCAGGGCACCTGTCGGAGTCTCATCATTTTCCGCTGTGAGCTTGGTGACCAGGGCGTGTACGTGTGCGACGCTCGTGATGCTCAGAGCTCAGCCTCCCTGAAGGTGCAAGGTAGGCAGATTAAGGGTCAGGGTCTGCTGGGCCAGAGCCTCCTGGCCACCCTGCATCCCCCCAGCAAAGTGCTTAGCCCTCTGGCTCTGCCCCGCCCTGCACCCCTCAGCAATCTGGGTGGGAGGGGTAAGGGGGAGCTCTGGGCATCCACAAATGGCACTGCCTTCTTGCCACCCCAGGTCGTAACATCCAGATCGTGAGGCCCCTGGAGGATGTGGAGGTGATGGAAAAGGAGGGCGCCACCTTCTCTTGCAAGATCTCTCACGATGAGGTGCCAGCCCAGTGGTTCTGGGAGGGCAGTAAGCTTCGGCCCAGTGACAATGTGCGCATCCGCCAGGAAGGTGAGCTGTTGGGCAGGTGTCAGGAGGACTCGTTCTCCATCCTGCCCCCAGGGCCTGTTCCCAGTACTGACTGGCCTGTGTTTCCAGGGAGGACATACACCCTCATCTACCGGAGGGTCCTGGCAGAAGATGCAGGAGAGATCAGATTTGTAGCCGAAAATGCAGAATCTCGAGCTGAGCTCCGAGTCAAAGGTGAGGGAGCCCAGGGGAGGGTTTTTGCTGGACAGTGTATGTGAATGCACAGTTTTGCAGCCTTACAGGGACTGACAGGGCAGCTGTCCCAGGACACCAATGACCCAGAAGGAGGAAAAGGAGGTATTGCCTCCTCACCAGGAAGACAGGGGTCTTGGAGAGGCAGCTCAGGAGGTCACAGTAAATCCTTCCTCCTGGGACTTAGCAATGGAGAGAAAGCACTGTGGGGTCCCGGCATGTGGTGAGCATGAGGCCTTAACAGGTGGCCCTAGCCACAGTCAGGGCATAGAGGAGGGAGGGTCTGCCACAAGTTGGGGGGAAGGTATATGAGATTCGGAATTGCTTGATGCAGGATTGTGCAGGGCGAGGGGTGTGGATGTGAAGAGGCAGGGCAGGGGTGAGGCCAGGGTGCTCTGGATGAGCTTGTCAAGGGCGCACGGTGCAGTGGTGTGTGTAGGGGGGGGAGTGGTGCGCCCACCCTTCACCTGGTCAGCTCTATGCAGTGGGTCCCAGAGAAGCCGAGGGTGACACCTGGCCTCGCCACCTGCTGGCCCTGGCAGAGAGGCTCCAGCCCTCTGGAGGCTGCAGAGGCAGAGCACCCAGACCCGGGTGGGTGGATGGGTGGGGGTTCAGATGGGGTTTTTGGGGCACTGAGCATCCCTTATCCTGTCCCCTCACCCCTGGTCACACCTCAGAGCTGCCGGTGACCATCCTGCGCCCACTTCGGGACAAGATAGCCATGGAGAGGCACCGTGGTGTGCTGGAGTGCCAGATGTCCAGGGCCAGCGCCCAGGTGCAGTGGTTCAAGGGCAGCATGGAGCTGCAGTCAGGACCCAAGTACGAGATGGTCAGCGACGGCCTCTACCGCAAGCTGATCATCAACGATGTGCAGCCGGAGGATGAGGACACCTACACGTGTGATGCTGGCAACGTGAAGACCAGTGCCCAGTTCTTTGTGGAAGGTGCGGGCGGGGCCACCCTGGCACCTCCCCACTGTGCCTGTGGCTGCTGGTGGTCCTCCCTGTGGGACTGCCCCAGTGACCAGCCCCTCACCCACAGAGCAATCCATCACCATCGTGCGGGGCCTGCAGGACGTGACTGTGATGGAGCCCGCACCTGCCTGGTTCGAATGCGAGACCTCCATCCCCTCGGTGCGGCCGCCCAAGTGGCTCCTGGGAAAGACAGTGCTCCAGGCCGGGCCCACCGTGGGCATGGAGCAGGAGGGCACGGTGCACCGGCTGACGCTGCGACGAACCTGCTCCACCATGACTGGGCCGGTGCACTTCACCATCGGCAAGTCGCGCTCCACCGCACGCCTGGTGGTCTCTGGTGAGCGCGCCGCTGGGGCGAAGGGGCGCAGACCTGGCAGGTCTGGTGGCAGACCTGGCACAGGGTGGGTTCTGGGACCCCGCGGTCCCTCCGCTGACGCAGCGCTGCCCTCTCCCCTCCCGCGGCAGACATCCCCATGGTGCTCACACGGCCCCTGGAGCCCAAGGCGGGGCGCGAGCTGCAGTCGGTGGTCCTGTCCTGCGACTTCAAGCCGGCCCCCAAGGCCGTGCAGTGGTACAAGGAGGACACGCCCCTGGCGCCCTCCGACAAGTTCAAGATGAGGCTGGAGGGCCACATGGCAGAGCTGCGCGTCCTCCGGCTCACGCCCGCGGACGCCGGCGTCTACCGGTGCCAAGCCGGCAGTGCTCAGAGCAGCGCTGAGGTCACGGTGGAAGGTAGCCAGGGCACACGGGGTCGCCCCGGGCCAGGGCGAGGGTCTCCGCCTGGGGGATGTGTTCCCGGGGTAGAGGGGGGAGGGGCGGGGAGAGGGTCCCCGGGGGGGAGAGTTTGGGGGGGAGGGCCCCCAAGGAGGAGGGTCGGGGATGTGGGGAGGGTCTTTGCCGTGGGGCGGGGGCTCCGGAGGGGGAGGGTGGGGGGGAGCATCCTCAGGGGGTAGGGTTTGGGGGGGAGGGTCCTCTCCGGGGAAGGGGAGGAGCGTCCCTAGGGGGGAGGGTCTGGGAGAGGAGGCGAGGAACCCCCTCTCCCCCCGGGGAAGGGTCTCCTGCGGCGGTGCTGAGTGGCTCTGCTCTGGCAGCGCGCGAGGTTACAGTGATGCAGCCGATGCAGGACGCAGAAGCCACGGAGGAGGGCCGCGCCTGCTTCTCGTGTGAGCTGTCCCACGAGGACGAGGAGATCGAGTGGTCGCTCAACGGCACACCTCTGTACAACGACAGCTTCCACGAGATCTCCCACGAAGGCCGTCGCCACACGCTGGTGCTGAAGCGGGTTCGGCGGGCCGACGCCGGCCTTGTGCGCGCCTGCTCCCCCAAGGTGTCGGTCACTGCCCGCCTGGAGGTCAAAGGTGAGGCGTCGCTGTGGGTCCTTGGGGTCCTCCCAGCGCGGGGCGCCGGGGTCCTAGCAGGCCGAAGGTGGAGCTCGCTCACCTGCCCACGACCTCCCCGCAGCAAAGCCGGTGGTGTTCCTGAAAGCGCTGGACGATGTGTCCGCGGAGGAGCGGGGCACGCTGGCCCTGCAGTGCGAGATCTCAGACCCCCAGGCCCGCGTGGTGTGGCGCAAGGACGGGGTGGAGCTGGTCCCTAGTGACAAGTACGACTTCCTGCACACGGCGGGCACGCGCGGGCTCGTGGTGCACGACCTGAGCTGGGAAGACACCGGCCTCTACACTTGCAGTGTGGGCTCCGAGGAGACCAGCTCCAGAGTCAGCGTGCACGGTGCGTGGCTATGCGGACTGGGTCCAAGGGGAGGGTCCCGGTCCTGGAGGCGGGGGCGGATGCAGGGGCGGGTCCGAGTCCAAGGGGCGGGTCCGGGTCCATGGGGCGGTCCGGGTCCAGGAGGCAGGGCCGGGTCATGGGGCGGGGCGGGTGCAGGGGTGGGGCTGGGTCCAGGGGGCGGGTCCGGGTCCAGGGGGCGGGTCCGGGTCCTTGGTGGGGAGGCGGTCCAAGGGATGGAGCGGGCACCAGGAGGCAGGGCGGGGTCCACGGGGCGGGTGCGGGTTCAGGGGCTGGTCTGGGTCTATGGGGCGGGTCCGGGTCCAGGAGACAGGTCCGGGCCATGGGGCGGGGGCGGGTGCAGGGGCGGGGCTGGGTCTAAGGGGCGGGGCCAGGTCCTTGGGGCGGAGCCAGGTCCAAGGTGTGGAGCGGGCTCCAGGAGGCAGGGCCGGTCCATGGGGTGAGAGTGCGTGCAGGGCGAGTCCGGGTCCATGGGGCGGAGGCGGGTCCAAGGGATGGAGTAGGCACCAGGAGGCAGGGCCGGGTCCATGGGGCGGGGCCGGGTCCAGGGGAGAGTCTGGGTTCAAGGAATGGAGCCGGGTCCAGGGACGCGTACGGGTTCATGGGGCGGAGTTGTCGCCAGGGGCGAGGCCGTCTCTAGGGGCGGGTCCGGGTCCAAGGTAGGGCCAGAGTCCATGGGGTGGGGCCGGGTCCAAGGCATGGAGTAGGCTCCAGGAAAGCTGGGTCCATGGGCGAGGCCATCTCTAGGGGTGGCGCCATCTCAGGTGCAGGCTGGTTGCAGGAACAGGGCCGGGTCCAGGGGCGGAGCCGGGTCCAGGGGGCGGGTCTGTGTCCAGGGGCGTGTCTGGGTCCAGGGGGCAGACAGGGCTAGGTCTAGGGATGTATCTGAGTCCAGGGGCGGAACTGTTTCTAGGGGCGGGTCCAGGTCTAGGAGCGGGTCTGGGTCCAGGGGCAGAGCCCTGTCCACTGGTGGGTCTGGGTCCAGGGGGCAGGCGGGGTCGCGGCCAGGGGCGGGGCCGGGCCCAGGGGTGGGTCTGGGTCCAGGAGGCGGGTCCGGGTCCAGGGGGCAAGCGGGGCCTGCCACTGTGGTGCCCACCCGCTCAACCGTGCCAGGAGCTGCTTTGTAGAAACCAGGAGGTCAGGGGCAGGCTCCTGGAAGACCAGGCTTGATAGTCCCTAAGAGGCCTAGGTTGCAGACAGTGCGGCGGGGATGTTGAAAAGAAGAGCTCTCAGGGACACTGGGCTGGCCATGAGTGATAGAGTCCCAAGATGCCAGGGATTCAGTGCAGGCTAGTGACATTCAATCTGCATCAGGGGATGTGTGTGGGCAGGTGTGGGAACCACAGAGGGAGCACAGTCAAGGTCGCCTTTTGGGGGTGGCTAATGACAGAGGCCCAGATGTCAGGCATAGGATGCTCTGGAAGGACTTCCAGGTCACAGGAATAGCCTGGTGAAGGTGGTTGTTGGCAGGCCACGTTTCAGGTTTATCAAGTTGCCTCAGAAAGGTTGAGCTGCACCATGGGTTACACAGCCAGCAGGGCAGCATTGCCCCCCCTTCCCCCTGGCTTGGAACGCACGGTCCCTTCAGAAGTCACTGTCAGCCTAGGCCTGGCCTCCTGTGTGCACTGCTGTCCTGGCCCACTCCTCTGGTCCGATTCTCTCTCCTGCATGTGCATGGCAGGCTCGCTCCTCAGTCACCCTGGGACGTGTCCCTGGTGGGCTGGCCAGGGTTTGAGGTGAGACAGGGAATGGGGCAGGGCAGCATGGTGAGTTTGTTCTGGAGCTGGATGGCTCCTTCATTCGGGCCTGTCCTTCACCTCCTGAAGCTTTGAGCTGGCCACCACCATGGACAGTGAATGTTCTCTGCACAGTGAGTGTTCTGTAGCAGATAGGAGGGTGGTCACGCTGGTTTACACTCACAGCTCTCTGTGATCCATACAACAGGGTTCGGCCAGCTGGAGACATTTGCTTAGCGGGGAGTGGGACTGGGGAGGGAGGGAGTGAGGTCTTGCCCCTTGTGGGGTCTGACCTGGGGCAGCAATGGGCTTGACAGTGCCAGTGTTAAGAGGCTGGTGTCCGAGGGCCTGGCCGGCATGACCACCATCTTCCGTGGCCCACAGACCTGCACGTGGGCATCACCAAGAGGCTGAAGTCGGTGGAGGTGCTGGAGGGCCAGAGCTGCACCTTTGAGTGTGTCCTGTCCCATGAGAACCCCAGCGATGTGGCCATATGGACAGTTGGCGGGAAGACAGTGGGTGGCTCTGGCCGCTTCCGGGCCACACGCCAGGGCCGCAAATACACCCTGGTTGTTCAAGATGTGGCTCCTGGAGATGCTGGGGAGGTGGTGTTCTCCGTGCGGGACCTCACCTCCAAGGCCTCCCTCATCATCAGAGGTGGGCACCGTGTGCAGGGATGGGGGCCTGTCTCCACTGGGGTGAGGGTGGAGTGGGGTCTCGGGCCAGAAATGGTGCTTCTGGGGACAGTCCCCCAGTCCCTGGGGAGCTCCCCTGTTGGAGGCCCAGAAGCACCTGCTGGGGTGCAAGGGGTGTCTGGTCATCTCAGAGAGCTCACTCTGTGGGGCGAGAGCCTCCAGTCTGTGGGCAGGAGCAGGGTTGGGGGTCTGACAGCATGGTGGCCCCTAGGGCTCACTGCTCACTGAGCTAGTGAAATCGCCATTGGCATTCCTAAGCTTGTGTACCTGGTATAAATACTGGTGCAGGTGGGTGATATTCAATTCACAGCTGGCAATGGCGGTGGCCACACTTTGAGTCTTGGGGCTCTGAGTGATACCAAGGTGTGAGGGTCTGTGGTCTCATATCTCCCCTCCCAGGCCCCTGCCTTGTGACTGTGGGGCCTCTTGCACTCCAGACCCTGAGGCCCCAGAAGGTCCTGTGGTCTCCACCTCTGTAGTGCTTGCCCTGCCCTCACCCTAAGCACGGCTGGGGTGTGGCCATGCCTCACGGGGGCTGTTCTGCTCTCTGCTCTCTTCAGAGAGGCCGGCAGGTATCACGAAGCCTCTAGAAGACCAGCAGGCTGCTCCAGGTGAGGATGTGGTGATGAGCTGTGAGCTGTCTCGGGCCGGGACCCCCGTGCGCTGGCTAAAGGACGGGAAGGCCATTCGCAAGAGTCAGAAGTATGACCTGGTCACGGAAGGCACTTGGGCCACTCTGGTGGTCCGTGCGGTGTCGCTCAAGGATTCAGGAGAATACACGTGTGAGACAGAAGCTTCCAAGAGCACAGCGAGTCTCCGTGTGGAAGGTGACCCCACAGGAGACCCTGGGATGGGTCCCCTGGCCTCTGTCCCTCCCTCCCTGCCCATGGTGGGGGCTGTTCCCTGTCCGGAGGGGCTGGCATGGGGTCTGCACAGCCCTCAACCCCCACTTCTTCCCACTGCCTCCCAGAAAAGGCCAACTGGTTCACAGACGAGCTGTCCGACCTGCATGTGGAAGAGAAGGGCACAGCCGTGTTCACGTGCAAGACAGAGCGTCCCGCAGCTGTGGTGATCTGGCGCAAGGGCCTCTCGGAGCTGCATGCCTCTGGGAAGCACGCACCCAGCCAGGAGGGCCTGACCCTGAGGCTCACCATCAGCGCCTTGGAGAAGGCGGACAGCGACACCTACACCTGTGACATCGGCCAGGCCTGTTCCCAGGCCCGGCTCCTGGTGCAAGGTGGGGGCCTGGTGCCATGCTGGCCGGGGGTGTGGTTGGGAGTAAGCTTTGTTCAAAGTGGACTTGGAGGCTGTCAGGGACAAGCCTCAGTTTCCCCATCCCTGGGAGCTTGGCCCTGGGTGGTCTCGTCTCTAAGGTCCTGCTAAAGGGACACAGTGTGAATGAGCACGTGTCCTCATGAGTTCACGCAGTTGTTTGCTTGGAGCCTGTGTGCTGGAATGTGCCTGGCCCCCACACCGGGGCTCTGCAGGGAGTGTGGCCTGGGGATGCCTCCAGGTGTGAGGGGTAACAGTTGCACCTGCCAGGCGGCATGAATGCTATTCTCCCACCTCCCAGATGGGGAAGTGGGGGCCCGATGCAGTCTGTGGTTGGCCCAGAATCATAGGGCATATTGATGTCCAGGCAGGATGGTGCACTCCCCTCCCAACGCCAGGGTCCAGCATTCAGGGAGGTCAGGAGGAGGGCCCACCCGGGGGCGGGGGGCTCTGTCCGTGGGAAATAACAAAAGAACAACAAAGAAGCCTTGCTGTGGTTTTTTTCCTGTCCTCTTCTGTGAAATCCAGCAAGCCCAGTGAGCTCACACCACATCCACTCTGTAAGCACAGTAGAATCCCTGGTTGGTCACAAAGCTTGTACTCATGCTGAATCCAGGAAACATCAGCTAAAGTGAGAAACACGCTGTCACACAGCATCCTCTTCAGAGACAATACACACTTGCCCATCTGGCTGTGCAGCCAGAGCCTTTTCTTTGCGCACCAGTCTGTGACTCAGTTTCCTTGTCTGCCCTGCACAAGCCACCCACCAATGGGCCATCCACGAGTTCCTTTTGTGGTCCCATAGATGTAAGACACCTGCAGGTGCAGAAGAAGGCTGGAGACAGTCCCTCTCCATCATTAGGACTTCTCTCTGAGCCTTCCCCACACCTAGGTCAGCTGCAGAAGTGGGTTTTTTCACGTCGCCAATCTTCCAAAGCATTTAAGTTTTCACATGGCCACAACTGTTTTCACACTCCTACTTCTTCTTTTAAAAAATTTTTTTAATGTTTATTCATTTTTGAGAGAGAGCGAGCGAGCATGAATGGGGTAGGGGCAGAGAGAGAGGGAGACACAGAATCCGAAACAGGCTACAGGCTCTGAGCTGTCAGCACAGACATGGGGTTTGAACCCAGGAGCTGTGAGATCATGTCCTGAGTCAAGGTTGGATGCTTAACTGACTGAGTCACCCAGGGCCCTCCTATTTCTTCTTTTAATCCATGATTTAATTGCATTCTGTGACCTTAGGGATGGACGTAGGCAGGTGTGGAGAAGAGTTTGGGGAGAGGAGGGCTCGCTCTGATCCACCCCATGTGCTCTGAGAAGGACCCCAGAAGTGGGCTTGGGGTTCATCAGTGGAGCCAAAACTCGCATGTGTGGACAGTTGAGCTCTGATACATTTGCTGTGCTCTGGGTTTCATCATTCTGAGCCTTACTCAGTCCAGCTGTGAGCCCACCCCCAGTCTTGGGGAGTGCCCCTTTCCCTTGGCAGCTGGCTGCAAGGGACCGTGACTTGCCGGTCTGTGCCTTGCAGGCCGGAAAGTGCTCATCACAGAGGATCTGGAGGACATGGAGGTGCGTGAGGGCTCTTCGGCCACCTTCTCTTGTCGCATCTCCCCTGCCGACTATGAGCCTGTCCACTGGTTCCTGGACAAGACGCCCCTGCACCCGAATGAGCTCAATGAGATTGAGGTTCAGCCAGGTGGCTACCATGTGCTCACCCTGCGGCAGCTGGCGCTCAAGGACTCAGGCACCATCCACTTTGAGGCAGGGGACCAGCGGACCTCAGCTGCCCTTCGGGTCACAGGTGGGCTGTGTGCCCAGTGCCGGCATGGGGCCTGGTCCATAAGGCTGAGGGTGCAGCCTTGTAGAAGGCAGATCTTGGCCATGTGCAGAGCATGGTCCTGGGGCTCACAGACAAGGTGCCCGGCCCACAGATCTCGGGGAGGTGGGGCTCTTTGAAGGTGATTGCGGCATGTGGTATGCAGAACTGATCCCTCAGTCTCCAAAGTGTGGGCTGGGCCATGCCAGGCCTGCTCTGTATCCCCGGCAGCCCGTTTGTGACCCCAGCCTCATGGGGCAGGGGCCCACACCTCCTGAGCTTTCCTCTGCACCTCCAGAAAAGCCAAGTGTCTTCTCCCGGGAGCTCACGGATGCCACGGTCACAGAGGGGGAGGATCTGACCTTGGTCTGTGAGACTACTGCCCCGGACAGCCCCGTGTGCTGGACCAAGGATGGAAAGACCCTGCGGCCATCAGCCCGGTGCCAGCTGAGCCAGGAGGGCCACCGGGCCCAGCTGGTCATCAAGGGTACCACTGTGCAGGACGGTGGGCGCTACAAGTGTGAGGCCGGGGGCTCCTGGAGCAGCTCCATTGTCAGGGTCCACGGTGAGTTCCTGGGCTCATGTCCTACTCTCTGTGTGGGGGAGCCTGTGGCCCCCCCTGTGCATGTCCAGGTGTCTGCTGCTTTGGTAGAGTTGACCATCTTCCACCTGTGTCTCCTGACCAGCAGCGTCTGACTTGCTTCATTCCTATGTCTTGTTTTCTGACATCTCTGTGTCCCCTCCTCCTGGCTTGGTTCATCTCCAAGTGTCTCAGCATAGACCACATGACAAATACCATGGATCCACAGACCAGTTAAACCATGGACATTTACTGTGTCCCAGTCCTGGAGGCGGAAGTCTGAGATCCAGGTGTGGGTGGGGCTGTTTCCCCACTGAGGCCTCTCTCCTTGGTTTGCACACACCGCCCCCTGCCTATGTTCTGGCTTTGTTCTCCGTCTATGTCCTCAGCTCCTATGTGATCGCTCAGATACGTGGGATTCGGCCCATCCCAATGACCTCAGGTTACCAAAATCACCTCTGTAAAGACTCCATCTCCAAACACAGTCACATCCTGAGGTTCTGGGGGTTGGGGCTCCAGCATATGAATTAGGGTGGGGGACACAGTTCTCTTCCCAACCGTTTGCCCCCCCACCCCAGAGGACAGAGTTTTGGAGTTCGCTGCCCATAACCCCCAGTGTAGAAAGGGTGAGGTGGGCCTGCCTGAGCCCTCTGGCTGCTGTGTCCTCAGCTGTCCCCAACCCCAGCAGCCCTCAGCTGGGGTGCAGGATGGAGGGGTCAAGCCAAGCCCGTGCCTGCTTGCAGCACGGCCGGTGCGGTTCCGTGAGGGGCTGAAGGACCTGGAGGTGCCGGAGGGTGGAGCTGCCACACTGCGCTGTGTGCTGTCATCCATGGCCGCGCCTGTGGAGTGGCGCTGTGGAGATGAGGTTCTGCGGCCCGGAGGCAAGTACAGCCTGCGTCAGGAGGGCGCAGTGCTGGAGCTGGTGGTCCGGGACCTGCGGCCCCAGGACACCGGGCAGTACTCCTGCCACTTCGGGGACCAGATGACCTTGGCCATGCTCACAGTGAAGGGTAAGCATGCGTGCCTGCCTTGCCCACATGCTCCTTTCATTCCTGTGGGAGGTCAAAGGTGACATTCCCTGTTGGGCCCTGTTGTAGCCCTGCCTGCTGAGTTCATAGGGAGACTGAGAAGCAAGGAGGCCTCAGAAGGGGCCACAGCCACGCTGCGCTGTGAGCTGAGCAAGGAGGCTCCCGTGGAGTGGAGGAAGGGGTCTGAGACCCTCAGAGCCGGGGACAGAGTCAGCCTGAGGCAGGACGGGACCATGTGTGAGCTGGAGATTCGTGGCCTGGCCATGGCAGATGCTGGGGAGTACTCGTGTGTGTGTGGGCAGGAGAGGACTTCAGCCATGATGACCGTCAGGGGTAAAGACCACGTGTGGCCAAGCAGTCGTGATTTGGTGTCCAGTTGACTTTGTGATGTCCATCTGCTCTCATTCCATGTTCATGTTCTTTCTCTCCCACATTCTCTGGTGTCACCCTCCACCCGTTACTCTGTGGAATCTCTCCCCTTCCTGGGCTGTTGTGTGAACTGTGAAGCCAGTATCCCAGCCACTTACCACTCCTTGGTCACTGCTGGTCCTGTTGTTCAGTAGAAGTCTGTCTTGTCATCTGTCCCGTCATGTACCACCACCCCCCAAAATCTCCAGAGAATCTGATCTTCTATGTCTGACTTCCCAGCCCTGCCTGCTGAGTTCATAGGGAGACTGAGAAGCAAGGATGCCATGGAAGGGGCCACAGCCACTCTGCACTGTGAGCTGAGCAAGGAGGCCCCTGTGGAGTGGAGGAAAGGGTCTGAGACCCTCAGAGCTGGGGGCAGAGTCAGCCTGAGACAGGATGGGACCATGTGTGAGCTGGAGATCTGTGACCTGGCTGTGGTGGACGCTGGGGAATACTCATGTGTGTGCGGGCAGGAGAGGACGTCGGCCACACTGACTGTCAGGGGTAAGGATTTTGTGTGGTAATGTGGAGCAGTGTCTCCATGTCTCAAAAAGCTGTGTCATGTCCTGTTGTTCTGCCCTGGTCACCATAGGGTCCTTCTGCCTCTCTGCCTCTGTCTCCTGCATCCTGCAGCATGAGTCTCTAGCATCTGCTTGTGTGAGGCTCATCCCAAATAAACTGCAGAGAATAAGGTTCTTTCTGCCCTCAGGGGGTTACATCTCAGGGAGAAATGGGGGCATCCTACACTACAACTGAGGATTACAGACTTCATGAGTTCTCTGGAGGGAACGTGCCACGGAGGAGCTAGGAACTAGATCGAAGCTTGGCCCTCAACGCAGCAATACTGAGAGGCTGACTGAGGAGGGGAGCCAGGAAACACATGCAGGGACATGGAAGAGATGTGGGGGTGAAGTGTGGATGTGGAGGGTGGATGGAGGCAAGGTCAAGGTGTGCAGAGTGAGGTGGGGTGAGGTGAGGTGAGTTGGGTTTGGAGGTAAGATGTGGTGAGGTAGATGTAGACTATGAGGTGAATCATGTGAGGTGGGTGTGGAAGGTGAATGAGGTGAGTTTACGTAGAAAGTGTGTGAGGTGAAGTGAGGTTAGATTGGGTGTGTAGCGTGAGTTGAGGGGAGGTCTGTGTGTGTGGGGGTGAGTTGAGTTGAGGTGACATGAAGTCTGGGTATAGATGCAGAGATAAAGTGAAGTGAGGTGATAGGTGTGGAAGTGAGATTAGATGGGTGTTGAGGTAAGATGGATGGATGGGTGTGAAGGTGAAGGGTGTTGAGGTGAGGTGAATGAGAAAAATGAGGTGAGGTGAAGTGATTGTGGAGGTGAGGCAGGTGTGGAGGTGAGGCGAGGTGGGTGTGGAGGTGAGGCGAGGTGGGTGTGCAGGTGAGGTGAGATGGGTGTGGAGAGAAGTGAGGTGGGTGTGGAGGGGAGAGGAGGTGATTGTGGAGGTGGGGGGTGTGGAGGTGAATTGAGGCAGGTCTGGAGATGAGGCAAGGTAGATGAGGTGAAGTGGGTGTAGTGGTGAGATGAGGAAGGTGAGGTGAAGTGGGTGTGGAGGTGAGATGAGGTGATTGTGGAGATGAGGCAGTTGTGGAGGTGTGGCAAGGCAGGTGTGGAGGTGTGGCAAGGCAGGTGTGGAGGTTATGTGGGTGTCGAAGTAAGGTGGGTGTGAAGGTGAGGTGAGGTGATTGTAGAAGTGAAGTGGTGTGGAGGTGAGGTGAGATGGATGAGGTGAGGTGATGTGAGGTAAGGTAGATCAAGAAGGTGAGGTAGGTGTGGACATGAGGTGAGGCAGGTATGGGGGTGAGGTGGGTGAGGAAGGTGAATTGAGGTGGATGAGGTCAGGTGAGGTGGATATGGAGGTGAGGTGGGTGAGTGTGGAAAGTGAGATGAGGTGGGTGAGGAAGGTGAGGTGGGTGTGGAGAGGTGAAGTGGATATGGAGGTGAGGTAAGGTGGGTGTGGAGATGAGGTGAGGTGGATGAAGTAAGGTGATGTGAGGTAAGGTGGTCAGGAAGGTGAGGTGGGTGTGGACATGAGGTGAGGCAGGTATGGAGGTGAGGTGAAGCAGGTGTGGAGGTGACAGTGGGTATGGATGGAATGTGGCGGGTGACGGAGGGGAAGGTCATGTGTGCCATGCCCAGGAAGGCAGGGGGACATCCATGTGGAGGTGGGGTCCAGGTCTGATGCTGACAGGTGGGTAGGTCTGCTCACAGCATTGGCAGGAAGTCTTTTGGGAGTGGGGCATCTCAGACATGGTGGGATTCAGGATGCAGGGCAGGACAGGAGGGCTGGTCCAGGGGTTAGGGATGACAGGCCCTGTGAGGGGCAGGTGGGAGTCCCTATGCAGTGGAGCTGCCTGCCATGGGTCATCCTGCCTGCTGTCCCCGAGGCCCTGCCTCCAAAAGGCAGCTGTGTTGCCAGGTTGATATCTGTGGCCATTTCTCATTTGCTCTCTGTGTGTGTGTCTGCTCCTCTCAGGCCTGACAACCCCTACACCAAGGTCCTGGGGCCTGAGCAGGCTCTGGGAGGAACTTGTGCAGTGGTGCGAGGGGCCCGAGACCCTTGGGAATGGGGGCTCGGAACAGGCCCTGCCATGGTGTGGCTGGTGGCTCCCTGATGGGGCCCGGGTCCTCAGGGGCCCTTATGGGGGCCTGGTCACTTCCTGCAGGGAAGCAGATGAGACAAGGTAGGATGAGGCCACCCCCCACATCCCGAGGGTATCCTAGGAGCACCCGGGCCCCTATGGTGCTTGAACTTTGTGGACGAACATAGCATCTTTGCCATAGGAGCACCGGGTGACCTCATGGAGCATGGGTGCCCTCTAGTCTGGGAGCAGCTGTCAGAGGCTGCGGCCATGATGTGTTCCAAGCAGGGCAGCCTGGGGTATGCGAGGTGGATGAGGGACCTGGGACCTTGAATCTAGCATAAGGTACAGTCTAAGACAGGATTGACCATGGAAGATGCTGGCAGATGTCCCCGTTGGCCACTATGTCTATCTGTTCTGTGGGCACTATGACCATTCCCATGCATGTGTCCATGTCCTGAGGTCCACTGTGGATGCCAGCTCCTCTGTCTCCCTGCTGCCCAGCCCCCACACACTGTGATCCACCCATGTGTCCATGTGTCCATTCTTTGATTTCCTATTTGCTCCAGGGTTCATTTCATTGTTGAGTGTCCACATCCTGACTTCTTAAGTTACTTGGTCTGATGCTCTCTGTGTCACCTTGTTCCTCCCCAGCCCTGCCCGCCAAGTTCACAAAGAGCCTGAGGAAGGAAGAGGCCACAGAAGGGGCCACAGCAAAGCTGCACTGTGAGTTAAGCAAGGTGGCCCCCGTGGAGTGGAAGAAGGGGTCTGAGACCCTCAGAGCTGGGGACAGAGTCAGCCTGAGGCAGGACAGGACTGTGTGTGAGCTGGAGATCCATGGCCTGGCTGTGGCAGATGCCGGGGAGTACTCGTGTGTGTGCGGGCAGGAGAAGACTTCGACCACGCTGACTGTCAGAGGTAAAGATTGAGTGTAGTCATGTGGCCCTGTGGCTTGGTGTCTGCACACTGTGACTATGTCACCATCTTCTCCCTGTCAGACTCCGTGGGCATCTGTGCCTCTCCAGCTGTGTCCTCCTGGGGACTCTAGCCTTCATCTCCCCATCCAGTATTTGTCCTGATGTTTGTGTCTGGGCTTGTGTCTGTCTTTCCTGGGCCATTTGCCTCCTATCCACCCTGTGCTCCATTCACTCATTCATGCTGTGGCCCTGGGAAGTTTGTGTGGTGCTTGTGGGTGTCTTGTCCTGGACATAGAGTCCCCGAGACAGTCTGGAGTCCTCCTGATCCTTGGCTCTCTCCAGCCCTGCCCGCCAAGTTCACAAAGAGCCTGAGGAAGGAAGAGGCCACAGAAGGGGCCATGGCCACTCTGCACTGTGAGCTGAGCAAGGAGGCCCCTGTGGAATGGAGGAAGGGGTCTGACACTGTCAGAGCCGGGGACAGAGTCAACCTGAGGCAGGACAGGACCGTGTGTGAGCTGGAGATCTGTGGCCTGACCATGGAGGATGCTGGGGAGTACTCGTGTGTGTGTGGGCAGGAGAGGACATCAGCCACACTGACCGTCAGAGGTAAAGATTGTGTGTAGTCATGTGGCCCTGTGGCTTGGTGTCTGCACATTGTGACTATGTCACCATCTTCTCCCTGTCAGACTCCATGGGCATCTGTGTCTCTCCAGCTGTGTCCTCCTGGGGACTCTAGCCTTCATCTTCCCATCCAGTATTTGTCCTGATATATGTATCTGGGCTTGTGTCTGTCTCTCCTGGGCCATTTGCCTCCTATCCACCCTGTGCTCCGTTCACTCATTCATGCCGTGGCCCTAGGCACTTTGTGTTGTGCTTGTGGGTGTCTTGTCCTGGACATAGAGTCCCCGAGACAGTCTGGAGTATTCCTGATCCTTGGTTCTCCCCAGCCCTGCCTGCCAAGTTCACAAAGAGCCTGAGGAAGGAAGAGGCCACAGAAGGGGCCACGGCCACTCTGCACTGTGAGCTGAGCAAGGAGGCCCCTGTGGAGTGGAGGAAGGGGCCCAAGACCCTCAGAGCTGGGGACAGAGTCAGCTTGAGGCAGGACGGGACCATGTGTGAGCTGGAGATCCGTGGCCTGACCATGGAGGATGCTGGGGAGTACTCGTGTGTGTGTGAGCAGGAGAGGACATCGGCCACACTGACCGTCAGAGGTAAAGACTGTGTGTGGCCACCTGAGTGACTTCCCCCTGCCTCTTGGTCTTTGCTCCCCTATGTCTCTCAATGTTGCTGTCTCTCCAGGACCACACGATAGCCATGTGGAGCATCCCACAGTCTCACACTAAGAACACACTGGTCAGTCCTGTCCAGGCCCCGGGGTGGATGGTACGGGGACCCCCAGAAAAACATGTACAGATGGGCATCACAGTCCAGGAGAATGGCCCGGGGCTCCTGGCCTGTGATCGGGCTGCGGATGGGCACGCATCCTGGGCCCAGGTGTGGGGCTGGGAGCATGTCACACACATGACGAATGTGTGAAGGAGGACTGAGGGCAGCATTGGGGTGTTCAGGGATAAGGTGGCCAGACAGGCCAGGCCCTCCTTTGTCTGGTGACAGGGTTTGATTGCCCTCTGAAGGGCTCTGTCCCACTTGGCTTGGGCTGCAGGACAAACACTGTCACCCACACTCGTAGTGGCTGGAAGTCTGAATCCAGGTGTTGGGACCCAGGAGCATCCGTCCTTAGAGTGTACACATTGTCTCCTCCCATGTCCTCACGTGGCTGTCCCTTTATTTGTGTCCTGATCCCCTCTTGTTAGGATGCCAGCATGATTAATGACCTGCCCAGTGACCTTCTTTACCCTAATTACCCCTCTGAAGGGTAATCGTATTTCCATATGTGCTCATATTCTGAGGTCTCGGGGGCACAACTCCAGGATACAATTTGCTGGTGGGACAAGTTTGTGCGTGACACTCTGCCCTCTTACATCCCTGGAAATGCATGTCCTTCCCACATGCAGCGTATGCACACCTCGTCCCCAAGGCTCCAAAGCCTTACCTGAGTCCAGTGTCACCACAGAATCCAGAGTGTGATGGAAGCATGTGCACCAGGTTTGGGTGACACTCAAGGTGGCTTCCTCTCAGCCATGAACCTGTGAGGTCAGACTGCACACTTCCCAAACGCAGCCGCAGGACATGTACCAGATGCGCATTCCTGTTCCGAAGGGGAGAAACGGAAATGAGGGAAGAGGTCCCTGGTCCCTGGAGACACGACACTGGGCAGGAAAGACTCCTGGATTTTAAGGCTGGACAAGGAGCCTCTGGCTCAATGCTCTGTCCTCTGGGCCCACAAGTGGTGCCGTGGGCTGTGGGTAGACGTGGCCTGGCCTGTGGATCCCATGCCGTGGCAGCCCTGCAGCCTCTGAATTTCCCTTGCTTTCCTTCTTTGCCCTTCTTGACGAGTGATACGTGTCCACAGTTGGGCAGCTCCATGGGTGCATCCCGTAGGACCCCTGGAAGTCTGATGGTTTCCTCCATTTCAGCCTTCGCCTCTCTGATTCAGGCGTGGCTGTAGCATTTCTGCATGCTCTCCAAAACTTCGTTGGTCTCCCATGCAGCTCTCAGGAGTGTGGCTCATCAGACCAGCCTTCCGCACACCCTGCCTGGGCGACCCTACCTCTGTTCCCGCTTCTGCCCTGCTCTTACCTGTGTTTCACCACAAGGAGTGAGAAGAAATCAGGCTGCTCCCTCAACTCTCTTCTTGGAGATCTCTCAGCTAACCAGTGCAAGTTCACTTCTCACGAGGCCCACCTTCCACAGATTCTGGGCAGAATTCATCCACCCACAGACTGGGCAGAATTCATCCAGGTTCCTTGCTACTTCCTACAGATACTACTTTTCCTGAAAGTGTCCAGTCAGCTGTTTCTCATTGCCGATTTGGGCCTCACCAGAAGTGCTGTAATGCCTATACTGACCCCTGCTCCCATGATCTACTCTAGGCAATCTAGATCTATCCGGCTGTCTGTCAAAACCCAGCCTTCACTCAACATCAGTTCCAAAGCTGGTTCTAGAACTTGAGGTCTTTGTTATGGCAGGAACCGCTCCTGCTATCAAAACAGGCATGACTGAGATATAGAGAAGTGGCCTTGACATTGGAAACGTGTAGTCTCCCAGTCCTGGAGGCTGGAGTCTGGGATCCAGTCAGGACAGGGCTGGTTCCTCCAGAGTCCTCTCATTGGCTTGCAGATGACTGCCTTCTCATGTCCTGTGTCTTCATGTAGCTGTCCCTGTGTGTGTGTGTGTGTGTGTGTGTGTGTGTGTGTCCCGATGTCCTCTTCTGATAGGGATCCAGTCATATAAGATCAGGGCCCACCCTAGTGACCCCCTTTTACCTTAACCACCTCTTTAAAGACTCCATCTCCAGCCCTGTTCTGAGGCCCCCTGGGGCCTTGACATGAATTTGGGGTATGGGAGTCACCCCACAACATGGTGTGACTAGGGTGGACACTGGTCACCTGTAACTTTAGGACCTCATTGTGCCTACAGTTGGAATTCAGGTGACAAGGGCCCAGGGGTGTGGTTAAAAGGCCATGGCTGCATCCATCATAGTCTTGGAAATCTGAGCAGGAGCGTGAGTGTCTGGTGGAGTCTGGACAAGAACATGTGAGGTGGAGCAGAGAGGGCCAAGTGTGGGTGGGGATAGTGTGCAATGAGCCCAGGTGTGGGCAGCAAGAGATGGATGCCCTGCTTTGGCTGGGAAACATGGGGTGAGAAGCAGCAGTGGAGCAGTGAATGTCATGACCACGAGGTGCCTCATGGGCATTCTTCCATGAAAGAGCCATAACGTCATGTGTGAGTGGGAGGAGCCTGGCTTCAAGCTCAGTGCAGGTGAGGCCAGAGCTGGGCTAGTACGAAAGGTCGGGGTATGAGGATATTGAGAAGACATGACACCTGGAAGGAGGCAGTCCCTGGGTAAAATGCCCCTCAGGGCAAGATGTCAGAGGCCATTGCAGTCGAACATGAGCTGATCTGCCTGTCCTCCTCCATACTTCTGCTTTGTTGATCCTGAGTGTTCACGTCATGCCCCAAATCCTCCAGAGGGATTGATGACTTCTATCCATCTGACCCTCCACAGCACTGCCTGCTCAGTTCATCCAAAATCTGAAGACCCAGGAAGCCATGGAAGGGGACACAGCCACACTGAACTGTGAGCTGAGCAAGGCAGCCCCTGTGCAGTGGAGGAAGGGGTCCAAGACCCTCAGAGCTGGAGACAGAGTGAGCCTGAGGCAGGATGGGACCATGTGTGAGCTGAAGATCTGTGGCCTGGCCGTGGCAGATGCTGGAGAGTACTCATGCATGTGTGGGCAGGAGAGGACGTCGGCCATGCTGACCATCAGGGGTAAAGACCACGTGCGGCCAAACAGAGCTGTGATCTGGTGTCCAGTTGACTTCATGACATCCATCTGCACTCATTCTGTTTTCACGTTCTTTCTCTCTCACATTCTCTGGTGTCACCTGCCCTGTTACTCCATCGAATCTCTCCCCTTCTGGGCTGTTGTGTGAACCACCGGAAGACAGCATCCCAGCCACTTACCCACTCCTTGGTCATTGCTGGTCCTGTTGTCCCATGGGACTCTGTCTTGTCTTCTGTGCTATTGTGTCCTGCCCTCACCAATCCTCTGTCCTGTGTCTGACTCGCCAGCTGTGCTAGCCAGAATCATACACATTATGAGGCTTGAGGAGCAACCAAAGAGGCCATGGCCATACTGTGCACAGGACAGCCTGAGGGAAACCACAACCCATAGTGTGTGCTCAACACACTTAGTACATGGCCCATGTCCATTTATTTGTCTTTTCTGTGTTGCTTGTGTCCTGTCTCATCCATGTGCTCAGAGACCGTGACTGTGTCTGTGTCTTTCTGACCATCCCCAGCCATGCCCGCCAAGTTCACAAAGAGCCTGAGAAAGGAAGAGGTCACGGAAGGGACCACAGCAAAGCTACACTGTGAGTTAAGCAAGGCATCCCCTGTGGAGTGGAGGAAGGGGTCCGTGACCCTCAGAGCTGGGGACAGAGTCAGCCTGAGGCAGGACGGAAACATGTGTGAGCTGGAGATTCGTGGTGTGGCCATGGAGGATGCTGGGGAGTACTCGTGTGTGTGCGGACAGGAGAGGACATCGGCCATGCTGACTGTCAGGGGTAAAGGTCATGTGTGGCCACGTGGGCCAGTGTCTTGGTGTCTGCATGTTGTCCATTATCGCCACCTTCTCCCTGTCAGACTGTGGGCATCTGTGTGTCTCCAGCTGTGTCCCCCTGGGAACTCCAAGCCTCCATCTCCTTGTCAAGTATTTGTTCTGGTGTCTGTGTCCAGGCTTGTGTTTGCCTTTCCTGGACTGTTTCCTCACCCACTCTGTGCTCCATTCACTCATTCATGTTGTGGCCCTGGGCAGTTTGTGTGGTGCTTGTGGGTGTCTCGTCCTGGACATAGAGTCC